GGTTTTGGGCTTGAGTGTTACCAGTACGCTGATGACACTCAGCTAGTGCTGAAGATGGAAGGCCGACCGGACTCTGTACCCTATTATTTCCATCAGTGCCTTGAGGCCGTTACTGGATGTCTGCATGCCAGCAGGTTGAGGGTGAATCCAGCAAAGACAGAGATCCTATGGCTGGGTCAACCAGGCAGTGGGGATATCCAGCTGCCTACCCTAGATGGCGAGGCTCTATGCCCATCATCATTGGTAAAGAGTCTGGGAGTCCTTTTGGACCCTCTGCTGACGATGGAGGCCCAGGTCTCTGCCGTTAGCAGAACCGCCTTCTTTCATCTGCGGCAGGCTAGACGGCTGGCCCCCTACCTGTCCAGGGATGACCTAGCTACGGTGATCCAGGCTACGGTCATCTCAAGACTGGACTACTGCAACGCCCTCTACATTGGCCTTCCTCTGCCGGTGATCCGGAAGCTCAAGTTGGTACAAAATGCAGCTGCTCGGCTTCTTGCGGGAATTCCGATGAGATGCCACATAGCACCAATCTTACTGCAGCTGCATTGGTTACCAATTGAGCACCGGATCACTTTGAAAGTGATGGTACTCACCTTTAAGGCCTTGCATGGTCTGGGGCCGATGTATCTGAGGGACCGCCTCACCCCCTACCAACCCCAGAGATCCTTCCGTTCTGAGGACCAAGATCTATTGGAAATTCCCAGTGTCAAGACCTTGCGTCTAACAGCAACCAGATGCAGAGCCTTCACAGCAGTGGCACCATCACTCTGGAATACTCTGCCACCTGAAGTCCGTGCCTTGCGGGACTTACCAGCTTTCCGCAGGGCATGTAAGACATACCTGTTTTGACAGGCTTTTAATGTTTGATATTGTTGTTTTTAAATTGTTTTAAATTGTTTTTAAATGTTGTTAGATTTTAGCCATTCTTTTAAACCGCTCCGAGCCCCAGGGGAGTGGCGGCATATAAGTTTGAATAATAAATAAATAAATAAATCCTAACAGCTAGTTGAGGCTTCTGGGAATTGTAGGCCAAAACACCTGGGGACCCACAGGTTGAGAACCATTGGATAAGAGGGATCCGCTAATCACTGCAGGAGTCTACTATATACCGTGCAGATGTGGACAAGTCTACATAGGGATGGTTTGAGACACTCCTACCTTTCCTACCACAAACCTGCACAATCTCTTCGATCTTCTGGAGAGGCCTTTCTCTTGCCCCTTCCTCTTTCACAGGCTCGACTTGTGGGTACGAGGGAGAGGGCCTTCTCCGCTGTGGCCCCCCGCTTTTGGAACTCGCAACCTGGGGAAATTAGACAAGCCCCTACCCTAGTGGCCTTCAAGAAAGAGCTAAAAACCTGGCTCTTCCGATGTGCCTTCGGAGAGTGACCATTCAACCCATTTGTTTGTTTCCACCCACAATTCGCCCTTATGATAAAGCTGCTCCCCCTTTAAAAAGGCTGAACCCCACTGCTCCTCCATCTTCGGTTCTTTTCTTCAAATACACTTTGTGCTCCTATCACACCTAGGGTTTTAACCTTTTAACATTTTACCCCATACATTTGGCCCGCCCGTTGTGTTGATTATACTATGTTATGTTTATACTGTTTTATTTTATTTGCTATTTCATATATTTTGTTACGATGTGATTTTTTTTCTTTACTGTTTTGTGTTTAATTATGTTGTATTATTTTCGGGCTTGGCCCCATGTTAACCCCGAGTTCCCTTTGGGGAGATGGTAGCAGGTTATAAATAAACATTATTATTATTATTATTATTATTATTATTATTATTATTATTATTATTATTATTAGAAACACAATAAGATGAGTCCACAGCAGACACTGTGCTGGCTGTTGTATTATTTATTTATTTATTTATTTATTTATTTCCAGCTTTTATATTCTGCCCTTCTCACCCCGCAGGGGACTCAGGGCGGATTACAGTGTACACATATATGGCAAACATTCAATGCCAATTTTTGAAATACAAACATATACAGATGTACACAGAGGCTATTTAACTATTTTCTGGCCGCCAGGGGAGCTGTCGCTTTCATCGTCCATCTGCGACGCTGATGAAGCACTTCCGCATTCCCTGCATGCTTCCCCGCTGGAATGCTTTGCTGGAGTCTTCTTTATGGCCTCATGAATCAGTTAATTTAGTCTCCCCGCACTTTAAGGTGGTACCTTATTTTCCTACTTGACAGATGCAACTGTCTTTTGGGTTGCAAAGGTCGACAACAGGCTACACACAATTGGTTGGAAACCCACTCCAACCCGGACTGGCTTCGAACTCATGACCTTTCGGTCAGAGTAATCTTAATGCAGCTGACACTCAGCCAGTTGTGCCACAATCCCGGTGCTATTGGATCACACGTGTGACACCTCCAAAGTGTCTAGGACTGTGTGATGTATCGGCGAATAATGCGTGCAGATCCCATTAAGGTGGCCTTTTGCAGCTGGCAGATGGTAATTTTGTCAGCGCCAATTGTGTTTAAGTGCAGGCCAAGGTCTTTAGGCACTGCACCCAGTGTGCCGATCATCACTGGGATCACCTTTACTGGTTTGTGCCAGAGTCTTTGAAGTTCGATTTTTAAATCCCTATATCATCTCAGCTTTCTCAGTTGTTTCTCTGGAATCCTGCTGTCACCTATTATTATTATTATTATTATTATTATTATTATTATTATTATTATTATTATTATTATTGGGACCAACAAACACAGTGCCCAGACACAAATCAAAGAACATGAAAGTAATTCAGAATAATTCAACCAGAGAAGTCAGTTATAGTAGAGCACATGATGAACCAACCTGGACACAGAATATGATTTGAGTTCTCAGAAATTCTAGACCACTCTGACAACCATTATGCCGGACTACATAGAGAAGTCATTAAAATCTACAAGCATAGAATCATAGAATCATAGAATCAAAGAGTTGGAAGAGACCTCATGGGCCATCCAGTCCAACCCCCTGCCAAGAAGCAGGAATATTGCATGTGAACAATTTCAACAGAAAGGAGGAAACCATGAAAATGAACAAAATCTGATTGCCAGTATTAAAAAACAATAATTAAGACAGTAAATAGGGAACACCACTCAGAAACAGGAGAACTCAAGACAACAAACTATCAAGTGCTAGTCAACATTTTCCAAACAGAGGGTGCCTCCAGGCAACAGAGGTCAGGCTACCTCTATGCAGATACCCTCACTGATTGATTTTGAAACTTCATGGTTGCTGAATGCCATTCAAGCTTGTTAATTGCAACATTCATTCTTGCTTTAAACAGACAAAAATTCTTTCTCCCAGCCTGGACATTCCACAGATATACATTCCACTTGCTTCACTGCCAACAGAACCTTTGAAGATATCAGCCACAGATGCAGGTGAAACGGCAGGAGAGAATGCTTCTGGAACATGGCCATACAGCCCAAAAACTCAAAACTCTGTTGCAAATCTGCACATCAAGCTAAATAAAATAATGGACTTAAATGTCTTGGGTGTTTTGAGCTACTTGTACTGTATATCACGATACATTCATATTCCCCATATAGCCTGGGATGTTGTGGACTACTCAGCTTGCTAGAGCATGATGAATTATGATGTATAAATGTACCCATGTTTGATTCACAAAATAATGGAGTATATTCAGAGGCGGCCCTAGATAATTTTCAAAGGTAACAAACAGTATTTTGCCCCCCCCCCCCCCAACCAATCACTGATATATATTTTCTGTTGATTTTGCTCAGGGGCACTCTTGAGGCGCTTTTGGGGAAAATAGACCTTGACATATGCGAGTTGTAGTTACTGGGATGTATAGTTCACCTACAATCAAAGAGCATTCTGAACTCCACCAATGATGGAATGAACCAAATATGGCACACAGAACTCCCACGACGACCAGAAAATATATATCAGTGATTGGTTGATGAGGGGGGCGGGGAGGAATACTGTTTGCTTACCATTGAAAATTACCTAGGGCCACCTCTGGTCCAGATCCATTATTGTTTTGAGTCCACAGTGCTCTTGGGATGTAGGTGAACTACAACTCCAAAACTCAAGGTCAATGCCCACCAAACCTTTCCAGTATTTTCTGTTGGTCATGGGAGTTCTGTGTGCCAAGTTTGGTTCAATTCTATCATTGGTAGCGTTCAGAATGCTCTTTGATTGCAGGTGAAATATAAATCCCAGCAACTACAACTCCCAAATGATGGAATCAATCCCCCCCAATCCCACCAGTATTCGAATTTGGGCGTATCGGGTCTTTGTGCCAAATTTGGTCCAGTGAATGAAAATACATCCTGCATATCAGATATTTATATTACAGTTCATAACAGTAGCAAAATAACAGTAGCACAACAGTAAAGTAGTAATGAATATAATTTTATGGTTGGGGGTCACCACAACATGAGGAACTGTATTATGGAGTCACAGCATTAGGAAGGTTGAGAATCACTTAGATATTATCAGAGGTGCCACCAACATGTGAATGGTAGCAGCTCTATCTTCATCAAACCCAAATGGGGTTGTTTGAGAGGTCTAATTTGATGTCTGGCTATGCAAATGAATTAGACGAACACCAGTAAACTGAGGTTCAAGGAACAACTGAGACAGAATGGTTACATCCCCTCTAATGGGCCAGGCTCAAAATCTAGGGCTATTCTTTATTCCAGCTTTGTCACAACAGCTACAAGTAGCCTCAGCGCTTATTATCAGCATACTTTGTGAAATTAAGGTTGTTGTCATTCTGCACTGTATGGTTCCAAATGGAAAATACTGACGGGGGCTTAATACCAGAAGCAAGAAGGTTACAGAATCCTTTAAACCGAAAGGACATTGTCTCTAGTGAGTGCATTGAATAACTGGCACACAGGCAGGTCATCGACTCAATGCCTAATGCTCTTGGAGCAGAAAGTACCCCTCTAGTATATGTTCCCAAGGCATTCACATCCCCTTAGCCATGTACTGTGTTCCAGTAGAAAAGTCAACACTTACCTCTCTCTGCAGGAAATGGATATGTGCTGGTGCATCCAGCTTCTGTTGACTTTATATAATTCCCCACTGCTGCCCAGCATTATACAAGTGATTTCCCCATTCTCATGGCCAGATGTGGTTCTTGTTGTCACTGCCCCGCTATGCAAACATGCTTGGCTCTCTGTCAAAGTAGGTGAGCTGCCCAGCCTCCCTCACCTCATTGACCTTTTGTGGGAGATCCCTGGTGTGCAGGGATTTAGAGCTGCTTTGTGAGACATGTTATTGACACCAGGAACTACCAGTAAGTAAGCCAGTCTAGTTCAAGTAAGAAAACGGGGGTTTTCAAGAGTTGCTTCCACAACAAGTGAAGCAGCCTCAGTGTGAAAACAAAAGATAACATCTTCCTATCTTCAAGGAGTCCTGCTCTCTCCACTGTTTCTTCTCATCCCACTGCATTAAGTGACTATCTGACTCTTTCCTCACCCATCCACCCATTTAATTTTATCCACGAGGACAGTGGTTCTCAACCTGTGGGTCTCCAGATGTTTTGGCCTTCAACTAGAAGCTAGTAATCTGTCTAGGATTTCTGGGAGGTGTAGGCCAAAACATCTGGGGACCCACAGGTTGAGAAGCACTGCACTAGGAGATGCTCCATACAGCTCTCTGAAATCTTTCTTTGACCCACAGAATATCAGAGAGGGAGAGAACAAAAGTGAGGAGCAGAAAAATAAACCCTTCCTCAGATACCTTCATGCATGGCCAGCAGCCCCTTTCCCACTCAGCTATGAGGGGTATTTTTTAAGTAAGGTCCGTTTTGTTGTAGACACTAGTAGTTCGCGCGCATACTGCAACGAGGGCGTGCGTCGTGTACCGGCATGCCTCGGGGACAACTGTGCTCAGTTTCCGCTCTGTAGCTAACCTGTACGGTTCTGTTCTGTGCTTTAAAAATGTTTAAGACTATCAACTCACCCGCCGCATGGGAGGTTCGCTCAGTGATACGGTTTTTGTCAGCAAGGAACCTGCCTGCTGCAGAAATTCATCGACAGATTTGTGAAGTATACGGTGATACTGTTATGAGTGAAAGCAAAGTGCGTAAGTGGGTACGACAATTCAAAGATGGCCGTGACAACGTCCATGATGAGGACTGCTCCAGTCGCCCTTCTTTGGTTACAGACGATTTGATTTTATCACACACTCAAATCTTTGGTTTTTTGGTCCTCTGTTAGGAGTTTCGGGACCCAACAGTTTCCTAAACTTTAGGTGTTCAGAAAGCACTGATCTCGACACGTCAGGAAATTTATTTGAGAGACCTGTTATTGTGAAGCGCCTGTTCTCACGAATCCTCGCTTCAACGGAAGCCACCAAATCGTCTGTAATCAAAGAAGGGCGAACGGAGCGGTCCTCATCATGGACGTTGTCACGGCCATCTTGGAATTGTCGTACCCACTTACGCACTTTGCTTTCACTCATAACAGTATCACCGTACACTTCACAAAACTGACCCTCTCTACTTTCTCCACCATGGCACTGCTTCTGGCTGACTCCCTGAAGCAGGGTTGGCAATTTCCCTCCTCCCCATGAAAATTAGCTGTGAGTCATATCAAAACCCATCATTTTGACCCCAAACCTGCCCTTGACTTATACACGAGGTCAACTTATACACATATATATGTATGGTCGTCAACATTTATTGCTGAGTTGGTATGTTATTATATGGAGTTGTATGCTAGTTCAAGACTTTGCCAGATGGAAGGCTGGTTGCTGAAGACAATGTGTTGTTGTTCATTCATTCAGTCGTCTCCGACTCTTCGTGACCTCATGGACCAGCCCACGCCAGAGCTCCCTGTCGGCCGTCACCACCCCCAGCTCCTTCAAGGTCAGTCCAGTCACTTCAAGTGACTGGAAGTCACTTCAAGTGAAGTGACTGGAAGACAATGTATTATATTGTTTACTAAATTATGTCATTATTGATGATGGGGATACCTGATCCAAGATAGATCATTATAATCATACAGTTTCCCACTGGTACTATTGTTCTGGCTGTTTTAATGTCTACTGTTGACCACAAGTCTTCTCAGCAGATACTTCAGGACTTCTATGTTCAGTCGTACAAAAGTTTCAGTGCTCAATAAAGTGTCAGAAGCAACGGCAAGAAAAAAAAGGCTGAGAAGTTAGCAGCTTGCATGCATGTATTATTAAGGTTAATAACGTTATTTTCAGCATTTTATACAGTAACTAGCTGTTCCCTGCCACGGGTTGCTGTGGCCTAGTGTAGTGATCTGGAAAATAAAGTAATTAGAAAGTGTTGGTTTCTAATATATGTAATTTCTTTCTGCTTGTGGGTAAACAGTATTTCTTGCTGTTTCTTTCTCAGTGTTGATGTGGAGATTGTTTGGTTTGACCACTCTGGAACATGCGACGTGTAATTGTTCTTCTTTAGGAGTCCCTTTCAAATCTATGATACTATATCTGCAGAGGCGGCCCTAAGCAAACAGTATTTTGCCGCCCCCCCCACTCCCGCCCCCCAACCAATCACTGATATATATTTTCTGTTCGTCATGGGGGTTCTGTGTGCCATATTTGGTTCAATTCCATCATTGGTGGAGTTCAGAATGCTCTTTGATTGTAGGTGAACTATACATCCCAGTAACTACAACTTGCATATATCAAGGTCTATTTTCCCCCAAGAGCGCCTCAAGAGCGCCCCTGGGCAAAATCAATCATATTGCAAACGTTTACTTTGCATAATGGTTGAGCCGCCCCTGTTTATCTGTCATATATGTGTGTGTGTGCGTGCGCGTGTGTGAATCATATATATCTATCTATATCTATGGCTGGATGGCTCTTTGTCAGGAGGGCTTTCATTATGTTTTCTTGCCCTGGTGAAGGGAGTTGGACTGGATGGCCTTAAGTATTTTCTGTTGGTCATGGGGGTGTGTGGGAAGTTTGGCCCAATTCTGTCGTTGGTGGGGTTCAGAATGCTCTTTGATTGTAGGTGAACTATAAATCCCAGTAACTACAACTCTCAAATGTCAAGGTCTATTTTCCCCAAATTCCATCATATTTGGGCACATTGAATATTCGTGCCAAGTTTGGTCCAGATCCATCATTGTTTGAGTCCACAGTGCTCTCTGGATGTAGGTGAACTACAACTCCCAAACTCAAGGTCAACGCCCACCAAACCCTTCAAGTGTTTTCTGTTGGTCATGGGAGTCCTGTGTGCCACATTTGGTTCAATTCCATCATTGGTGGAGTTCAGAATGCTCTTTGATTGTAAGTAAACTATAAATCCCAGCAAGTACAACCGCAAATGACAAAATCAATTTTTTTTTAGTGATGGTCACTCCTTGGAATAGTAGGTGTCTTGTGGCCAAATTTGGCGGCAATTTGTCCAGTGGTTTTTGAGTTATGTTAATCCCACAAACGAACATTATTTTTTTATTTATATAGATTGGATTTTTCTCTCTTTAGTGTTAACAAATTTAGGAGCTCTCCTTTAATGCAGAGCACTATGTGGAAATAAAGTTGGAGTTGGATATGCAAATTTCATTGTGTGGTAAGAATGGAAATACACAGAATGTATGGGTGGAGAAGCTAGTTGTCAATAAAGATGGAGCAATGTTATAAAGCAAAATAATGAAGGCAGAAGACTAAAATGTTGGGGAAACAATGGAGAAATTGTTTAAACTAAAACTAGAGAAGCATAGAAGGACTAATTGGACTTGGGACCTCATCAGATGCAAGTTCTCCCCGTTTCCACACACTTCTAAGACATTTCCGAGATGAAGTGCTATGGAGCCTTCACATGATGCAAAACTAATTTTGGATGTCATTTATTGCCTTTCGTCCCTGAAATACATAGGACGGGATCTGTCAGATTCCCCCACATCATTTTAGTTCAGTTAATGGAGCAATGTTTGCCATTGCTCATTTGTTTTGTGATTGATTACTTTTTTGTGTGTCAGGAGCAACTTGAGAGACTGCAAGTCGCTTCTGGTGTGAGAGAATTGGCCATCTGCAAGGACGTTGCCCAGGGGATGCCTAGATGTTTTGATGTTTTACCATCCTTGTGGGAGGCTTCTCTCATGTCCCTGCAATGGGGAGTTGGTGCTGATAGAGGGAGCTCATCCACGCTCTCCCTGGATTCGAACCTGCGACCTGTTGGTCTTCAGTCCTGCCGGCACAGGGGTTGAACCCACTGTGCACCATCGGGGGCTGTGGCATGATGATGATGATGATGATGATAAATGTTATTTATTACCCTCCTCTCCTGATGGCTCGAGGCGTGGTACAACAAATTCAAAAACATATATACAATGAATTACATAGACAACACAAACATGTAACTTGCAACAAACATAGATGCAGAATTAACATATAGTAGCAATAGAGTGTAAATCAAACTCATGATAGTAGACCTCATTATATGTGACGGCGTGAGTGGCGCCACCTATGTATAGAACTGTTAGTTGCAAGATTTAAACTGTTGTATCATGCTTAATCTCGCCCCTTTTACCCTGCTTATGTATAGTTGTATGGATTGGTTACTTATAGCTGTCAATCAGTACTGTTTGGCTCCACCTCTTCCTGCAGGAGGGGAGTGCTTCCTTTCTTTTCATTCTGCCATCAGAGTTCTTACCATATGGACGTGAGTAAGAGACTTGACTCTAAAAGACCCTGATTTAAGTTACCTCTTAGCACCAGTTCTGAGGTTTTATCGCTTGAGACTTGTGCTTCATGTTCAGACCAACCTGAACGACGTTGGAAGTCTCAAGCGCCTTCAAACCGGTTCTTTTGGCACCAAAGGAAGATCCGGAGTCTTCAAAACATAGGCCATCTGAACTGGGGTTGTGGTTTGCTCCGGCATTCACAGCCATTGAGGAAAGAGGAAACTTGGTGAGGCTTCTCAGCTTCAAACACCTTGGACCCAGGACTAACTGAGACTGTAACGTATATTTTCCTTCACCCCTCTGAAGTTTCCAGCTTATTGCTTTAAGAAATAACTCTTTGTCATCAATAAAACTTACTTTGAGTTATTTACAGTGTTTTGGGTTTTTGAGAGTTTCAGTTTCCCAAAGGAGGGCAAGAAGCAATCCTTTGGGGGAAAGATGCCACATCCATTCCTCCTTCATTAAGAATAATAGCCCC